ATTTCTGCTTACATTTGAAGAAAATGTAAGCAGAAATGTGCCTTTTTGCCTTTTTTTTTTTAAAACTGGGCTTCAAATTGTGACCCAATTTTAAGCTTCAGTATTCTGAACAGGCACCTGCCACCATTCCAATTTAGCTTTTCTGAAATTCATACTCCGAAAACGCATTTCAATTTGCACAAAATTAGTAAAAAGCCCTCTGGCACAGTCATCAGCATTCCCCTCCCCGTTTCTTCAAAACTGGAAGAGCCTAACTTGAAAATACCTGATGAAACCCCCCCAAAATGCAATTAAGTTTTTGGTCATTCTCTGGCTTGATTGTGGCAACTGAGCCCTCAAGGTTAAAGACAAATTTTATATTCAAACTTCAACCTTGACTTTCAAGAGGACTAAAAATATTCTGTWATATCCATACTGATTTTTGGATTAAAATCCACAGTGAAGTAAAATGTCTAATAAATCACTTCAGAATTATTTTAAATGGGAACAGAATGACCAATTTCAAGACACCCAGTAGGTCACCCACGACAAGTACACTGCCCATTTCATTTTCCTACTCYCATGTGGACATTTGACCCACAGCTGCTCAATATAACATTAAAGTGAGTGTGTCCAGCAGAGTAAAAAGAATCATAAAATGGGGTATAACTATGTCTGCATTAGTACTCTCCTGGTGAGATGTGGTCTCCTACACTTCATGGGGCTGTGCGGACTATTTGCATTGGTAATGACAAGCGCGGGAAGCTGTGACAGACCATATGCAGCACTCCAGCTCTATTTCAGGCAGCCCATCAGCCAAATCAACACCCACCATGTTGCTCTGGGCTGCCCTCTCACTGGAAACCAAGGCACAGAATCGAGCMGCGGCGTCCGTGAAGTACCGCTGACAGCCTAGCATCCTCTCCCAAGAGAGAAAATGGTTCGAAGTTAAGAGTGTAGTTGGAAAACCAGAGGCAGTGCATGGGCAGCTCGGTCACGACGGCAATACACAGCTGGACGGGGAGCTGCAGGACGACCATCACGGAGTGAGTGAAAGCACCAAGAGGGCCACTAAAAACCTGACCCATCTTCACTCCTGCTARCTTTGGGGCTGCAGAGATGGAAAAGCCTGATAAAACGCTGTGTGAGGAGGCAGTAACGTGTCCGGGGGAGGCAATCAATTGTGTAAATAATGCTCCACGGAGAGATCCAACCCAATTTTTAACAGCCATCTGATTCTTGGCATTGTTCCCCGTGTTAAACTTCCTTTCATCCACAACACTCGCTGCCCTAGTTTACAGATGAGTTATAAGGTGGACGAGTTTGTTTGCGCGCTTCTTTCCCCTCTCCACTGCACGGCTGCTTTATGTCTCCCATAAAAAGTGTGCTCTGAGGATTTCGTGGCTTGAGAGTTACCAATACGGTTTAACCCTTTGCGTTGTTGGGCAATGGAAGTTTTAAATTAGTGCATCACGGTTTAATTCCCCCCATAAATGTAAGCACAACTACAAACCCTTWTAACAGCTTTATTACTGGAAAAAARGCAAACCTAAGAAAGACGGATAACAAGAATCACCTTGCAGATTGATATGATCAGGTAGCTTAATGCGTTTGAGAGGGATGCTTGGAGCCATGCTGGGAATTGGTGACCTTGACTTTTTCTCTTGATGATATCCCAATGGAAATGACACATTCAGAGCAAGGCAGGACGTGCATCATCTTAGGTTTAGATTTTCCCCCCACCCCAACCTGTTTTCTTAAACCGAGCGCGCTGAGATTATGCCCAAACGGGCACAAATGTGGAGATTTAATGACAATGTGAAGAGCTGGGTCTAAACAATTCCAGCCTTGCCTGAGGAGCAGCACTAACTGAGATTTATCACAGCAATTCACGCTTTACACTGATAGAAGTAGTGAATGCAGGTTTTACCTTTAGGGCTTCAGTGTGAATAAAAGGAGAAAATGTGTGTGTGTGTGTGTGTGTGTGTGTGTGTGTGTGTGTGTGTGTGTGTGTGTGTGTGTGNGTGTGTGTGTGTGTGTGTGTGTGTGTGTGTGTGTGTGTGTGTGTGTAAGAAGAAAGTCAGGCAAGGGTTGAAATCAGAAGACAAATTAGAAATAACCTTGTCAAAAGAGCTGCTGCAGAAAACTACACAAACTGAAATAAAAAAAAAAGAAATATTGCACAAAGAAAAACTTCAGAGAGAAATCACAAAAATCCAAAGGTGTTAATTTGCCTCTAAATCAAATCTAATTGAGTGGAAAGAAAAACTCACCTGTGTGGAGTTAAAATAAATGTGGTTATCCAGATTTTTTTAATCCTTTTTTTTAGACTGGGAGAGGAGGATTCACCTGAATGGGAGGACTGGAGGAGAGCTCGTGCAAAAAGATGCTTTCAGCAAACAGTCCCGCTTTGCCTCAGTTTGTCCCTCTGCTTTTTAACGTTCAACACATGCGTGAATTTCATGGAAACTGAGTAAAAACATCAAACAGTTGTCATTTAAAAATAAAAAAAATCATTTACCTTAAAAAGTCAGATGCCAGKGACGATCGAGACGTCATGACTCCTCATCCTCTCCTTCTCCTCCTCGCTCCGGGCGGAGGCTCCCACTTTCTTCTTTCGGGGTTTTGACTTCCCAACTTTACATTGAATTTGATGATCTGCTCCAATAAATTAGTTATAATGCTACCCGCACGCTCCCATTATATCTCCCAAAAAGTCCTGAATTTGATGATCCGCTCTTGCTTATCATTCGCCAATAACTCTCACCATTTTTTTTAATCCAGTTAACTTCAATGTTCACGCTTATATATGTTTAATGGGTTTCCGTCAGGTCAACTTGTTTATTTTTTCTTTGCCGAATATAATAAGCGAACATAAATTAACAAAACGCAAAAACAAAATAACGGGAATGAAAAAGGGCGAAYCGAGACACCGCGTGCCAGTACAATGTAGCGGTTCACTATTGGATGGAGACGATAACAAACACCACAAATCCCCTTTCTCCAGGAAATACGTCACATTTAGAACCAAGCGGATTATTGTGTGCATTTGATTTGTATCACCGGTTCTGTTTAAAGGGGCGGTTCGCTCTTTTTTCACAACATTAGAAGCTGGAAGAAACTCAACTTAGCTAGCCTTTTTGACTGCTTAGAGCAGCTAACCTTTTTCAGGCAGGTGAAAAAAAACATTCAGTTGTTTGCATGTTTTTTTTTATTTACGAACAAATATAATTATTATTTAAATTATTTAAAATATATATTTGTTTAATCTGCCTATATAAAGTCATTTTGGATCAAATATCTTATTACTGAATGATAATGTTAATTTCAAGGAGGTTGAAGCTGTTTTTTTTAGTTGCAGTTTGGTTCTTTTATGTATATAAAAAAATGAATTCCGTGCCACGCCTGTAAATAAAACACACACACTTGGAGGCGGCTCAAGTGATGTGCTGTGTGCGACTGCCATCTTGTGGARAGATGTTGAAACTACACGCAGGCATGAAAACAATACACCGTACGGTAGAGGGCGCCACAACGCAAATCTTTCGCTCTGAGCATTAGCTCGTATGGTTGTTTAGCCTGTTACAGCCTGGTACGAATGAAAACCAGCCTGCTTTGAACAGCCRGTGGGTTAACACGGGCTAAAGTTATCCCGGAATAAGGACAGCACGCATGTGCCGTCAACCCGGATGTAGAAGAGATTCCTGTTTTCGCATTTCTGACTGTAACCCTCCCAAGTTATGTCAAGATTGCTACAGTTTAAGTAAGAATTACAGTCAAATAATCTCGGGGAAGTTGAAGTTTAAAGAGGCAGGCGGCTCATGTCGTGTCTGTGTTTCAGCCTCATAACTGACGCACACAATGATGGACTTTCGCGGCAGGAAGCACGAGCGAGGCAGCAACTGGACCGACCCGGAGATCGTGGAGCTGCTGCAGCTGTGGTCCGACGAGTCGGTCCAGGTTGAGCTGGAGAGCTCGCTGCGCAACCAGCGCGTGTTCGACCGCATTGCCCACATTTTGCGCGAAAAGGGCATTTACCGCACGGGGGACCAGTGCAGGGAGAAGATCAAGAAAATGAAGCTGGAGTACCGGCGCATTAAGGACAACTACAAGATGAGGACGTGGAAGTTCTATGACGTCATGGACAGAGTCCTGGCGAACCGTCCCGCTATTACCTACTCCTCCCTGGGCGGAGCCGTCGTAGCTCAGCAGGTGTTCCAGAGCTCAGGTGGGTCGGAGGCGTTCCTGCAAGCTGTCCCAGCAGGTTCGTTTGGCCCAACGTCCTCAGGGGGGTTCTTATTCGGACACCCGCCCAAACCTGGAGAGGATCTGGGTATTAAATGTGAGGATGCTGAGGAGAGCATGCTGAACTCGGGAGTTGCACCTCCTGAGATGTACTATGGTTCTGGAAATGAGCAGGAAACTGATGGGCAGTCTTTGCTGGAAGTAGAGGACTCTCTGAGACAGGAGGAGAGCTCAACAAACCCAAGAATCTCACCTTCAGGTTGTCAATAGGAATAGTTTAGTTTTCACCTTAGCATATTATCAGAAAATAACTGTGTCTTTATATTTCCAGGTTTTAGCGACTTGAACACTACTGGCTCTACTACAGCTGCCCCCCAAGGTGGTCCGGCAGAAGACATGTCTGAGCAGGCCAGTAAAGAGGGCTCCCATGCATKCACATCTGTGAGACACAGGAAGCGCCGGCGTGGAGGCAAAGCCTCCTGGGGTCGTGGGCGTGGCCAATTTAGTGGTCAGGAGAGCCTGGGGAAGGCCCTGGTCAGTTTTATGACCTGGCAGCGGTCGGCAGAGGAGCGCCTCCTCTCCCTGGAGGAGGCGCAGCTGGAGCGAGAGTGGCGGGCCGCGGAGCYGCGCGGGGAGCGAGAGGAGAGGAGGGCAGAGCAGGAGCGCCGGCATGAGCTCCAGCTGTTCAGCATGCTCACGGGGGCCCTGTTCGCCACCGGACGCGGCGGGGCCCCGACCTCCGCGCCGTCAGASCCCTCCGTCTCGCCCTCTGCTCCTCGCGCGACCACAGCCGCCCCTCCCGTCTCGTCCTCTTCACCCCGAACACCCGCGGACGCTCCCACGACGCAGGCCACCTCCACGKAGGAGACAAAACAGTCAGAGCCCACGCCTGCCGCGGAGGCGGAGGCGTGGGGGGCGGAGACTCCAGGTCGGAGCGTGTACCTGTCGAACCGCGGCAACGGCATTCGCCAGCATCGAGGCATCCTCCAGGAGGGCTTCATGCAGTACGCGACAAACAAATACCACGACACAAACAATCCTGATGTGAGTCAGCAGCGCTCTGTGTGGAGCATCTGAATAAAAGARGGGAGATATAAATATTGTTTACATCATTTTTTTCTTTTCTTTCCAGGGMATAATCAACTTGGGTACCAGTGAGAACAAACTGTGCCACGATCTCCTTCATGCACGAGTACGACAAATATGCACARGTTCAAATCTTCTGTAATGTGAAAACACCTGAATCTWATAACACCTGACAGTGTCAGTTATATATAAAAAAACAAACAAACAGAATCAGTCAGGCTTTCTATTGTGATCGTCCAGAAAACTGCAGTCMGTTCTCCCCAACACACAATAGTTATATTGACATAAATAAAGTTTTCATTAAAACTTCACTGCATAGCAGTTTTAATTCCTTTGGCCTAAAATGAAAAAAGCTTTACTTCTGATCTCTTACAGTTGACCAAGCCTGACATGCTGTATGTTGAGCCTTCTTTGCTGCAGTATTCAGACTGGACGGGACATGCTTTGTAAGACAGGATCTGCTTTAATTGACATTTCAGTAAACACCAATTAAAAAAAATAATTCATACATTTCTAAAATTCTTCGGCCTTCCCTGTCCTTCAGCCTCAGAGAGGAAGTTGCAAATTTCCTGACTCAGCACTGCTGCTCCCCGAAGCCTCTGAAAGCTGACAACGTAAGTGAAGGATCCTGGTTTTATTGTTGGACTTTGCCACTAGTTGTGTAACACAGCTTTCTGCGCTGAAACTGTTCTTTCCTTCTTTCAACKTGTTTGTTATAGATTTGCTGTTTTGCTTGAGATTACCATTCTTTTGCAGGCCCCGACTTTAGCCAAGCTTCAGGTGTTGGACACTTGACTGTAAAGTGTATCGTACTCGTATTACCACCCTACTTGAATAACCTAATCTGCTTTTTCCTTGCATTCCCACACCTGTTAACAGTTTTTCAAAGTTCGCTGTCGTGAACTTCAACATTCAAAACACTTGAASAAAACAAACATATTAAGAGTGAAACAGTTCATTCTACACATCTGTTMTATTTCAACCCTTTTTTACATGAGAATGTAAAGCATCATCACAGAGGTAGTTTGACCACCTGCCACYCAATAAGTCAACTAAATAAACAATTCATCAAATCCCAACGGCAAAACAATTTGATAAAAAAGCAATATCCCTCCACACTCAGTCTGCTGTTGTAAAAAAAACAGCTGCCATATTAGGTAGGTGTATGAATTTGTTACAAATTTACTCCCCACCACCCCACCGTGTGTTAAATGACTCGTTCCTAACTTGGTGTATGTGTGTGTGTGTGTTTGTTCAGGTTGTGGTGATGAATGGCTGTGGCTCCCTCTTCTCATGTATATCTGCAGTAATTTGTGATCCTAAAGGTAGGCTCACGAACGCACCCGCATGCGGCGTATACTTTTATCGAGCTGAATAAATAAGAACGTGTCTGAAAGAAAATAGAAATTTCCCTTTTAAGACTAACGGAGTCGGGAAAATATTTTTACACAGCTGTGCAAACAAACCTACGGAGCCCGTCAGGTGACACTGGATAAAAACGATTAATCTCATGCGTTATTATCACGTGGCCACGAGTCTTTTTTAACTACAGTAATTTCCATGCAGAACGACTTGATCGTTTACATCCAAGTTAGCATTAATTTCATTTTATTGTAATATATGTATGAGCGACATACTTCACTCACTTATGTTAGACATGAAGTAATTCTTAATGCTGCAGCTGCAGGTGACTGGAGTTGAAATTGTTCAAAAAGCTTTATTATTTTTTAATCTCAACACTCAAAACAAGGCTCCTCTCTCACACTGTGCCTTGGCTGCAGAAGAAGTTATATTATGTTTGGGAACAATAAAACACCTGTTTCCCGACACACACCTAGGGTGTTCATTGTTTTCTCATATATAGGCTACTATGAACGATGAACCGTTTAGATTAAACATAATATTGATAAGAATAACTAGAGCTGTGAAGCAGTTATGACCAAGGTCCAAGCCCGTTTATGTACGTATGTCAGCTTTTGCTCATGTCATTTCCAGCATTCTGTTAACCTCGTGCACCACAGTTTATTAACATGATGGGGAGTTTTTATAAGATCTGTTCGACGGCCTTGTGTCACAGCAWCTTTTGAGCMCTTTCTCCGTGAGCGTGCCTATTGGTTCTCATCAATTCGGGGTTGGCTAAACGTTGTCTCCATTTGTGTGGGGTAACTTTGAACAGCTGAACACAAATGTTATTGATAAATGTTATTATTAATGTTAACAGCTGAGATGAAAGCTATCGCACATTTTATTCATATGTGTGTCACTTATCCACTAGGTATGACCTCAGATATGGCTGAGGAATGTCAATGATAAGTCTTAAGAGAGCAACATGGCAATATYTGATTCACGTTGTCTGTTGAAGAATGTCCATGGGTTGACTGGGTTATTTTAGTGTGTTAGAATTAGCTTTTGCAAAAATTTTCAGTGTGTTAGTGCTTTAGAATTAGGGGACCTAAATATTTGAGTTAGTGCTTTAGAATTAGGGGACCTAAATTTTTGAGTTAGTGCTTTAGAATTAGGGGACCTAAATATTTGAGTTAGTGTTTTAGGGCTAGTGGAACTAATTTTGACCTTAGTGCTGCCCACCACTGATAATATGACTGAAGAAGACATGGCTGCTCAAAATTATCACGCATTATTACCTTGTGGCCTCGAGAAACGTGATAATAATGCGTGGCCACGAGATACTGTTTTTTAAAATCCAATATCACCAGACGGGCACTGTGCAAAGCATTTTTTTAAAAGCATCGACTTAAATTTCACGTTTTTCAGTTCAGCTTCGGGCAGAATCTCTTCAAGTGCTTTAGTTTATGTTTTAACTTTGATAAACAGTTTTCACATATTGATGTTATCGTGAATGAGTTTTTTTTCATGATGATTTGCATCTTATTAAAAAAATACACATTTTTTTAAAATAAATGTCTTGTGTTTGTGATTATAACATCAAATAATATCATGATTTGTCTTAATTCTATTGTGTTAAAAGCATCGACTTAAATTTCACGTTTTTCAGTTCAGCTTCGGGCAGAATCTCTTCAAGTGCTTTAGTTTATGTTTTAACTTTGATAAACAGTTTTCACATATTGATGTTATCGTGAATGAGTTTTTTTTTTCATGATGATTTGCATCTTAATAAAAAAATACACATTTTTTAAAATAAATGTCTTGTGTTTGTGATTATAACATCAAAGAATATCATGATTTGTCTTAATTCTATTGTGTGTTAAATTCTAAAATTAATATTATGTGGTGTTTTAATGTTTTTGTTTTGTAGATGCAGTCCTTATTCCGACTCCTTTCTATGGTGTTATCACTGAAGATCTGAATTTGTATAGCGATGTAAAACTTTTCCATATTCCCCTCGATTGTGAGGTAAGAAAACAGTTTCTAATCTTGGAGTTTAAGATGTTAAACAATACAAAACAATATTTTTTCCCCTTGTTTTTATTCAAAGGCTGAAGGCAAAGACGGCCGACCGTTCCAGCTCACTGTGGCGAAACTAGAAGAGGGTCTAAACAGAGCTAAACAAGAGGTGACGTATGGAAGCATCTTTTTTTATTAAGCTGTTTTCTTTAAWGAATATTTAAAGCTAAGCAGATCCACATTTATTAATGCAGATAATAAAGCTTCAGCTCTAAAAGACCGCTCCATTGCAATAAAGCAGTTTATATTTACCCAGAGGCTGCCTTTTTCTTTAAGGGTCTGATCATCCGAGCCATTATTCTGATGAACCCTCACAATCCTCTGGCTGAGATCTACACTCAGAAAGAAATGATTGTTTTCTTAGAGTTTGCCAAAAGGTACGGTAAGCCCTTTATTATCTCACGCTGTGAGGCTCGTCCTGTGTGTGGGAAGTATCAAGTGTTTGTCACACGGTTTTACCACCTCTCTATAACCTGCAGCATATTGTCAATAACAGCCATGCYTGGAAGAGTTTCCTGTATCGTCTTGTGTTGTCTGAACAATCTCGCCAGAGTTATTCTCTCCTTAGACCTCCTTAAAGCACAGAGCTGCTGTAACCATAAATCTCAGGGCTTTTACTCTGACAGCGGACGCTGGAGGATTCCCTTCACGTTTATGTTGTGTTCGCTTTGTCATAAATAACCGCTAACAGTACAAAGCTGAAGCTTATAATGCGGTACTGAAATATTTGTGTCTGCTTGGACCCTCTTTTCTCCCGCTTTAGGAATGAGCTGCACGTCATTGTGGACGAGGTGTACATGCTGACGGTCTTTGATGAATCTGTCACCTTTCACAGCGTCCTCAGTCTAGACAGGTACCGCATGATTACTCTATTAGACCCTTAATCATCACAATTGTGGCTGAGAGGACATCCTCTTATCTCCCGCTGATATGCCCTTATTTCAGTTTGCCCGACCCGCAGAGGACGCATGTGATGTGGGGGTTGGGCAAGGTGCGTACAGCCAAGGTCTGAAAGTGTGTGGGACTTTTTATGTTCCTGTTGACAGAAGAGGAAAATCTCTTCTCCTGTGGGTATTCAGTCTTTGTTCTGATTTGTCCCTGTTCTAGGACTTTGCGATGGCAGGCATCAGGATAGGCACGCTGTATACTGAGAACAGAGACGTTGTGGAGGCTTTGGCTCAGCTGGGCTCCTTTCACGGTGTCCCTGGAACTTTGCAGCACCAGGTGGCACAGCTGCTTCAGGACACAGGTACCAGCCTGGTTTCACYGGTTTACAAAAACACACAGCATCAGGACCGTTAAATTCACCATAAAAGGATGAGTCACTTAATTTGATGAAGCTGCTTTCCTGTGCATACTTCACATTTAAAATGATTCTGTCCTCTTGCAGCTTTTTATAGAGTCCCACTGTATATCAAGCTGTGTAAATACTAGTAACTTTAAACTTACTCATTATAATTTTGCATTTTTTTTTAGAATGGATCAACAATACATTTTTACCAGAAAACAGACGAAGGCTGAAAACTGCTCACAGCTTTCTGACTGGAGAGCTGCGCAGCATAGGGACCCCCTTCCTGGACAGACCTGCTGCTCTGTATGTCTGGGCTGACCTCAGAAAGGTAACCACAGCTAGATTRATTTAGTTGCAATTTGTGCACAAACAATATGGGCCACCCATTTGATCTTTAAAGAGCTGTAGATTTTGTCCTTTTTGAACACATCAGAGTCCCGAGGGGTTCACTTCTGTCTCGTTGTTTTGGCAGTATCTCCGGGAGTCATCGTTTGAGGAGGAGCTGCATCTGTGGAGGTGCTTCCTCAGACACAAGGTCGTGTTGAGCTGTGGCCAAGCYTTCTTCTGCTCCACACCCGGATGGTTTCGAATTGTCTTCGCCGATCAACAGCACCACCTTCAGCTCGGTCAGTTATTTCAGTGTCTTACTGCCTATCTTTTTTTTTCCCCAATTTGTAAAATCTTTCTCCAGGTAAGTTCATGTTTTGATAAGACATATGTATGACCGGAATTTTACCACACAGCTCAGTTCTCTGTTCGCAATAAAAAAAGCAAATGAAATTGCAATTCTTGGAATTTTCTTTTGCCATGTTACTATTTTAGTCCAGAGCTTTAATCAGAATGATTTATTGAATATGGTAAATGGTACTGAACTTATAGAGCGCTTTTCAAGTCCCTCCGGACCCCAAAGCGCTTTACACTAACAGACA